CACCACTTCCTCGAAGGTGAAGATAATATTTTATAATGCTAGCAATAGAAAGACCATTGTAGATTGTCAAAGACATAGGCTAGCTATTCAAGAATAGCTTCAAAAGCATTAAACTCTATCCTCATAGCGTTATCAGAATTGGCTTATATAAACACTAACGATTGTTACCTGCTCTGAATAACCGAAGAAGTTCGCAACCAGTCGCACTTTTTAACAAGGGTGGATAAAAAAAAAAAAAAAAAAGAAACTACAGATTAGGGTGTGCTTCTCGCGTTGGTGAAGTAATTAAATATTTTGCCTGTTATCGCATCGCGTCTGTAGTAAAATTGCGTAATTGCGATATTAATGGTCTATAATCTTCCTAGGTTTAAATAGTAGCCGCTGATGTTCAACAGGAACTTCGTCGGTTTTTGTCACGTGACCCCGGTGCAGCGTATGCCAAACCGTGATTTGGTAAAAAATTTCTTGACTACATATACGCTAATTGTGAAGTATTGATCCCAAAAAAGCAGTAACTTTGCTAACAATTTTTCTCACTTTCTGATATGGCTATTCCTGTATAAGTTGAAATATACGCGTATCATATTATAGATAAATCAAAATGTAACGACAATAACAGTGGTTCCTTCTCTAGTCTTGCGTACCCGTCAAATAGGGCCACTGTAGAATGACATGATGGGCGTGGGTTTGCACCTGGAATTTACTAATGTAATTCTCCCATGCCACTTTTTCAAGTAGCAGAAATTCCGCAAAGAGGATATCCGTGGCCCTTGACAACCATAATAATCTCATTGCTGCGATTCTATCAACACAGATTATGTACTTTGCAAGGAACTTCCTGGAAACACTGGCAAAGCTACATCGGCTGCCAATGTTAGCCATAAGGTTAAAGTATCTAGCACGACTGCTCGAGATAATCAAATAGGCTTCAATGAAGTAAGTTGAACGTGAAATATTAACTAGATGAAGGTTTTAATTAACTAATTCCACTATTATTAGTTCTCGCTTAAGATAAGGGTGATACGTTTTTTGCGTGTTAGCATTGACACAAGAAAGAATTGAAAAGCTAATTAAGGAACTAATGCTATTTTGCATGTCACCCTAATACCGCACCTGATATTATCTACAACCGATCTCAGTCCATGTAATGGGTACCCTTCTGGGTATGACTCCGGCAAGCACACACGACTTGTCACGGGTGTACACGGCCTTATGATCGATCGAACGACACGCTGATCCGAAATCCAAGGCTCTTTGTTTCGAACATGCTTCTCGCCCATCGACCGTTTAACGAACTCGTACGGCCGAGGCGCTACCGCCTAAACGGTCCGTACCGACTATCGCGGTAATGTATGATAAGGCACGCTTGGCGTCGTAGACGCAATGATGCAGCGTCAGCTAGTTTCTAAACTTGCTACAGAGACGCTAACGGCAAGGTCGATGTCGACAAAGTTCAATAGCCATTGAAAGCAACCCAATCATCCGGAACGATGAGTACTGCCGAAGCCGAGCGGGACGAATGAACTCCATTGGCAACCGTGTCGACTCTTAAAAACATTTCCCTTGAAAGTGGCTGATAGAGATGAATAAAACCTTATAACGAACTAGCACTGCTCAGTATGGGCGCCGGACAACCATCTTTACATCCATGATAAAGTACAAATCAAACCTTTGATATTTTCTTCAGCATGTTTTGTACCTAATACAAATCCATTAAAACCCGGAAACCAGATATTCGTCTGAAGCTAACCTTTATGAAACTGAGGCACTTGTAGGATCAGCGATATCATAGAAATTTATATTACAACATAAAACGCATTCCAATGGTTAAGTGATCAATTTAATTTTTCCAGCTACCACTTTTAAACAAGGAACGACCGCGAAAGGAGGACGGCCAGATGAAATCAATGGAGTATCGTTGAAGAAACGTCGACACCGTGTGACCTGTATTAAACGGAGAAGGACGTATTTGCTTAATATATCGAAGCTACAATAGCATTGTTTTTCCTTAAAAATGAATGACTCAGTATTTCTCCTGTTGGTTTATCGTAGGGTATCGTATCAGCACCGCACCCGACAGGCAGCCGACTATGTTAGAAGCCACCACCTCAACTCTTCTGCACCTACGAGCGTCACCAGAATTTTCAGCACCATCGTCAGCTTCAGGCGTCAAGTAGTCTCGAATCTTTTAATAAGCTACTATTAATTACGATGCGATCTATGTCACAGCTCATGATGCATCATCGATTTCCTGGCGACAGGCTATATATATATATATCCCTTCGCAGCCATTGTTGCTTGGTCCAATTGAAGATGCGTTGACGCCACACCTTTTACGATGATTACCCGATACTGCCTCCCCTAATGTAATGGCGGGAGCTGCCGCTGTCGGCGTCGTGGGTGCTGAGGTCGCCGAACTGGAGGTGTTTGCCAATGGCAAGACAAGCGGGATGGTAATAAAAGCAGATTGCCACGATTCTTCGTCAATCTTTATTTGAATAGAATCAGCGTATGACCCTGCAAAAGGTTGATGCCTGGCTGCCCTAAATGTGTGTGAACATACGACATCGAAGAAGGCAAAGATAAACGATTTATATTGAAACTTGTTGACCGTTAAATTGTACCACACATCCATACGATCTGTGTGTTTCCATAGGGAACAACAATAACTGATGCGACAAAGTACGAATAGTAGAGCAATGCGGAATGGGCTAATAGGTCAAAAGGGTTTTCACAAAAGGTAGGTCACTGCACAAACAATGACAAACGATAATTAAATTCATAGTATATTATGATTAAGAAAAACGCGCAGTCATTTAGAGGCGTCATGTTAACTATAATAACACATTAAAATTCAGCTATACAGTACGGAATCATAATGTATGTCTCACAACCTATCACAGTAAATGTCTTCGTAGCCTTTGTACATATAGCATTGATAGTGGTGTGCTAAATCCGTAGTTTAGATGTCGATTCAACCCATATATATCCGTAGTAGTCTTCAACGCATATGGGAACTCTAGTAGCATGCAGTTATTGACTATCTTCCCGATTCTTCGTTAGCAACTTTTGAGCCTTTCATTACGTAACGGACAACATATTTATAGGAAAGCTTTTGCCGACGAGAATTTCGCATGCTCATTGAGCTATGCGTGTGTAGTTCCTGCTATCTTTTTTTAGCTAGCTTAGTTTAACTATTATACTATATATAATGGCAACAAATACATGAAAGGACGACGGCATTGACCCAGAAGGATGCTGTTTCAAACCCTAAAAAGAAAAGGCGAGGCTTAGCACCATTCACATAGATTGTCAGATAAAAAAAATAGAGAAGAAAAATGATGTAACACATCTTACATTTGAAGTATGATTGATGATTAATTGACGGCTATTGCGAGGTGACAAGAAACAGTTGCAAAGAGTCCGCGGTATTTTATATTTCTAGAAATTTTCCGCTGGCTTCTAGAAAGCTAATACAGGCACACGAGGCCTATTAAATAGGCAGGTTTAGATTTTAGAAATTGGCCATTTGTTATCGTTTGACCTTCTGACAAGAGAACGACTTTGACAGGAGCCAAATGAACAACCATTTTTCTGTTTTTGCGCGGATAGAGCCATTTTACATAGTTGGCACTCAGACACATCTACAGAAAACAATTGTAGCCAACTGTGTGACGGAATAATCAAACAGACGTAAAGTGTGGTTGTCATTTACGCAAAAAAGGTTTATTATGTTACGACTTTAACATCGGTAAGACGCACACGAGCTTATGGCGATATATATATTTTTTTATTGTATTCGGAAGGATTTTTTTGCCTGTATTATCGTACGTTGATGAATGGCAATTTAGTAATTAACAAACGACGGCTGATTCAGTTTATTAAACCCTCAGGAACGACTCAAGATAATTGGAAATTAAATAGCGTAGTCGTAGTAAGAGGCCGCTATGAATAGAAAAATAACGGAACACATTTACTTCTACCGATAATAAATTTTGCCTCCACATATGAGCCTGCCTTCGATATTCCGCTAAAAATATTCATTGTAATTGATTGCAGGTAACGTTTACAAATCCTACGATTCTATGAACCGCTACCTGTTACGGATCTCCGCCTCGCCGGATTTGCGTATTCACGACATAGGATCTGACCCAATTTCTTTAGATCTCCAGAAATGCAGCGTGCTTTTCAATTATAATTAGCGAGCTTCTTTGTTCCTTTGTTTCTGTTTCAAGGAACATCAGTGGGTAGATTCCCAGCAACCCGCACAGAACTGACTGGACTGACGTCAAACGTCATAATGCAATAATAGAATTTATTGAAAAATCTGCAAACAGAGAACCGTATCTATGCGATTTTAGGTAAAAGCTTTTTGGCCCCATGTCCTGGTGTATAACGCATATGCAAAAGATGTTGTATCCTTTCAAGTGGCTTCTGTGTACTAGAAGGGCCGACATGGGGCACGATTATAATCAACTGTGTGAATAGTAAAATCCGGTTCGAACCTTTGATCAGCCAGTAACTACTTGCCCTATTGCTCCTGATAGCTGCGTAACGTCTAGAGTCAATGGTACTAATATAGGCCATAAGTTGAATAGTAAAGGTTCTCAACTGATAGGACTCAAGTTTTTTTGCTTCGATATAAAGACACTTAAACACTCTACTATTGTAGGCGGATACCTTGAAATGTCAGCGTAAATGAGAAATCCTGCTTTTCCATTTCGTACCATTACAAATACCAAAGGAGTCGAGAAACGCTGAAACGGGCTTTAGCTATATAGAGTTGAGCAAAAAAAGGAATGATACTCGCATATTTGTCTGGACACAGCGTACGTTCTTTCTTAACGTATGCTACCGTCACGATGAATACAAATGTATAACGAAAGAAAAGCAAGGTATATATATATATATATATATATATATATATATATATATATATATATAGCAATCTAATCGCGGTCGACCCAAACAGATGAGACAGTGTATAAATGCTTACCTACCTGAACTAATGTTGAATACGCAATCGAAAAAAAAAGCAATAGTCCAGTCCTTCGGGGAGATTCGGGTTAAAGACGAACGACCAACGGGACCTTATTTTCTCCGACGCTCGACAGTTATCAACTGCGAAGGACACCGTGATAGTACCTGTAATAGATGATTCAGTATGAAGTAGAGCAAATCAGGACAGCATGTAGAGAACAGCTTGTGTGTGAACTACTACATAAATAGGACCAGCCACATCCGCTGTCACCCGGCTGAAGTGACTAATCCCTGAATGGCTAAGTAGTATATGAGTAAGAGACAGGCAGGATATAATAAGAATAAATCATTTTTCATTCTGAATGACTTTATGGCACTTCACTGGCCTACTTGGGTGAGTGCAATAGTAATCTTGCGATTACGTACGGAAATAACTTGGTTTTTAACGCACTACTTAATAACAAGTGTAATTATCTCTAAATTACTGGCCATATTAAGAAGGTTTCCGACGGACAAAATGTACAATGTATGTATATATATATATATACATACGAAGACGAAGCATTCTTGTTAACGGATGTTAAACGGATGACTTCGTCGCTCTTCAGAGGCCGGGAGACACTTTTCAAATTTTTTTGTAGATTTTATCGACGAGTAGTGTAGATTATAGTAACAAAATAGGATCAAGTTCAGTATGGAAACAACGGACGATCCTAATGACAGTTGTATCCATAAAACTTCTTCATCTCTCTCGAAGCCTTCAGAAGAATATCATAGATCAGATAATCAGATCAAAGCCTTGGTAAACCAGATAAAAAAAAATGGATCAACTCTCTTATTACTGCTACAGCTATTATTGCGGTTACCGTAAAAACGCAGAAAACGATAATTTGATGCCTTTAAATGGTTGTAGAAGGGCAGCTCTGTTTGCTTTTATGTAGCACAAGCAAGCCACCAACAACAAAGAGAAGGAAAAATAGCAAAAATAATAAACGTTAATAACGAGATCGCTTTTGTTGGGCAGTGCTCTAACGAACAGGACTGGGTCAGTCTTGAATAGAAAAAATACGTAGAAATCGAATCTCAATGGCACGTTAGTCTATAGCTGCGGCGGACTCAGTGGTTGATTAGCTTTTATTTAGCAGTTTATTAGCTAAATAATGGTTTTTCCGTGTGAACTACTGAACAGGTAATGAGCGCTTATAACGAAATGGAGCAGATATATTCAAAATGTATCACATATAACCCGTTAGAATAAGTAATAGACTGCATCAAATATGTATTAAAGATACATCTCATGTAAATATTACAATCTGGCTCCAGGGGTGAAGTGTGAAAAAAAAATATTTACGTCCGTTTGGATAATTTGAAGATGGCGAAATAGGTTTTGGCCATTTCTAGTAAGTAGGCTTAGCCTAACGAGAAAACTTCGTGCGGAACAACTTGGATCCGGAAATATTTTAACTACGAAAAAAAACTTTGACCGATGACACAAACTGTGCTATCTAGTAGAAAATGCTGAGTTAGGAATAGTTATTTAATATTAAGCATCAAAGTGATTACAGTTTATACCGCTAATAAATCTGCGCGCTGGGGTGGATTATTCTGGGACGCAATAATTGATTAAATTAAAGAAAGCCTATGTTATACAGGATGACATCGTGACGAGCCTGCGTCGAGCCTTTTCCAGCTGATAGGGCTAACCTCATTTCGTACTTTGAGTGCGTATCGGCTTTATAATATATCTAATTAGAATTGGCAGTTAAGAAACTGAACACAAGCTATAAATACTAGACATTAAGAACGTTATTATAAATATATTTACGGTATTAAAATGGCTTTGTGTATAGGGCATAAAGCTCTTCAGCTATTTTTAATAATAGTATCTGCGAATAGTCTGCACATACGTCGACGGTAACGGGATGATGCGTGAAGTTAGATTACTGGAACCGATTAAAATTCCTATTTTCGAGTGTCGTCGTGTTACTCATGCAGCATATCTATCACGAGCAGCATCATAACAAGCGTCATAACAAACAGACACTTCAACGACAGCTATATGAGGAACGAGTTCCGTCGACCGCTGCCGTTCGTAGCGTCTGGAGCCTACGTTTATGTTTCTCTCTCAGTGTCAGCGTTATCGTACTCTGCATACCTCGTCGAACCATTTTTGCCGACCTATCTGCTCGCTAAGCTTGATGCGAGGTTAAACCCTCGATTAGCAGGAGCGACGGATTGTCCACTCGGGAGCCGTCTTAAAGAGAGGAGATACATAGTAATTCTGAGAGACATGTATCATTTTCGAGCAGTTCTAACCGTAGCCTTTTGCTGATTGAGACGTTCAAGGATAACTGTGAACTGAAAGTTCTAGTCCGTGAAAGGTTACCACAAAGACTCTTTGCCTAGATTCGAGTTAGGTTAACCACTTTTTTCGACTCGCTTACCTGTACTAGGTAAAATACTGAAAGCAGTAGAGTCGATGTCACACGAAGCCTTTGGGAGAACCATCGCTAGCCGCTTACATACCCATGTAACTACTGCAAAGTTTCCATATCTGAAATAAAAAAAAAATATCTTCTGCGCGAAAAACTATGCCAAAAACCCGATATGGGCTTTAACAGCGACAAGCTATAACATGGCTAGGATACAAAGGGAAGGGGCACTGTCGTATGAGTCTCGGGAACAGTGAAATGACGAATGCACATTGCCACTCAGCTTGAATTGTTGAGCTGAATCAAGACGAAAGGATCCGGTCGTTAAAAGTAAAGATAAAGTCTTCCGAGCCATTTATCTGTTTCCCGAACGGCGGAGGAAGGTCATATAAAATCATAAGAAAGTACTCTGATGGCCGAGCTTGATTTTTTCCAAACGTTAGCAGGACCTTGAGTTGAAAACGAAATCAGCTTCTAACATATATATTTCTTTATCTAATAATATCCGTTGTGTAGTATCTGTTTCCAGTTGATCTAGAACCAACTACTGACCTAGAATGGGCAAACGAAATTAAGTACACTATTCAATATGGAGGCTCGTTATTCAGCGATCTTAAAATAGTTCAGTGATCATCTATTTGGCATACAATATACGAAATTAGTACTACAGAACTTGAAAGATGTTTTGAGCTGCTGAAATTTCAAAAATTAACATCGTCCGGTGTGTGCAGGCTCGATAAAGCTCCCAATTCTGGATCGCAATAAGCAAGCACGAAAAAAAGAATCTAGTGTGCTATAAAATTAACCCACATTTTGTTCATCGGTGGCTATTCTAAGTTTCACTTAGAAGTAGCATATTGCTTTTTCAGCGTTTTTCTCACCAGATGTAGACAGTATTTAGTGCGAGTCATAATCGACAACTTACTTGCTTTCCGCGACCGCCATTTTTACTATACGGACGTATACACTCTGTCAGCTCGACTGCGACGTATCCTTTTAATTTGGCTTTTTTTTTGCTAACCAAACAAATAGTGTTATGAAATCGGATCCGATTGTATAGGCCCTTCACATGGTTCGTTTCGAAAAAAAAAAAAAAATTGTTGTCAAAAATTTCGCAACATATCAGGTCGTATTTTTTGAGGTTCAAGTCTACGTTTTTGTTTACTAGATGGCAAACAAGACCACTGAACTGATATTACAACCATCGGAGATAGCGTGGTGCGGCTAATTAATGCGCATCGCTTAAAGTACGTTGCTATAGTAATCATGAGCAGCGCTAATTGGAATTTCCGAAGTGGTAAAGCGTTGGTATGGCTGTCACGCTATTTTTAGGTTTGTTAAGGAAACCCAATAAATTGAGCGGTACCCTCCCCGTGAAGACCTTTTTGTGGGGGGCACATCTTTGATGTTATACTAAATAGGTGATCATCCCGAAGACCTTTCATCCCATTCAAACAGTCAAAAGAGTCACAATGCGCATAGTGTAAGGCAAACGCATATGTAGGTTTGTTGGTCCAGGCAACGTACTTTGACCAATCCAGACAACTGTTTTTTTGAACTGCAATATTGCTCCCTTTCCTATTCTCTCTCTACATTTGGACTTCTTTTCATACAAGCTGTCGTCTATCGTGTGGAAACTCTCTATATTCACAGACGAAAATTCTAGTGCCCGGGCTAGAATAATAACTCGATGTCTGAACGAGGTTTGGGTCAGTATAAATAATAAAGGAATAATTTTTTGCAATAATAGCAATAAATAGTATGCAAAAAACACATAAACTGCTTGCCGAATTAGACACCCGCACGTTGGCCTGACAGCTATAGCTCCAGTTGCTAGATAAGAGTATGAATCAGGCTGACTGATAGAATAGACACCCACCACCTCATATTACTAATAAATGAAGATCCTGTTTAGAGAGTAAGGAACGAGTGAGACGAGGTCGACAAGTCCAGATGTCGGTTTAAGCAAGAAAACTTCACATTGCCCTCGAAGCTAGTAAGTAAGTTATGCGAGCCTGTTACGTTGCCCTCGAACTGCAAATGGTTTTTCGAATTGAACTTGACTTTTTAATTGTTGATTTGATTCAGACAAACTTGTACGCAATTTTCTTCATACATATTAAACTTTGAGTGAATCATTGAAATAGCTGAAACAACACTTTACTTAGGGGGGGGGGGGGGGTAGGGAACAAAAATAACTTAGTGATCTTGAATCTCGCGAGCATCTAGACGAGTCATCGCTAACTTATATTTGTGATACACTTTATATATATATATATATATATATGTGACGAAATAATTTGTTTGCACATGTCAAACCTTTCATAGAATCTAGTCGTCGCTGTGACTGGACCCATTGGCGTGAGTTTTATGACAGACGTGTCGTCCATTTTTCGTGTACCGTGCAAAATTGTCATTCAAGCGTTTAAGAGAATTTGGACCGCCCCCCATAAACACATTTGGTCCGTCATTCGGCTAAGCGAAAATCGCTCTCGGCGTTACTAACTTCGAGCTGGTATGCAATAAAAACGGTACAGCAACGTTTAATGCTTTTATGGCCTGGTTCGCCTTCGGAGGAGCAATGGCCTCCCATTTCTGACGGATCATCCAGCTGGTTTCTTTTCCCATCTAACATCGAGACATTTTGCGGCCAGAAGTAATGTACAGTGGTCGAAGGGTATATGTCCAAATCACTATCTCGACTATAAAGAAATTATCTGTTGCTTAAGCTCTATCCTTTCGGGTAAGACGAATCGAAGAGCCCCCAAAATGGACATCTATAAAGGTATGCGTTTTCGAAAAAATTAGGTAAGCTGCGGTAGTGATTTGCTTTTGTGTTTTTATACTTTTTATTCAAGCGTGTGAAAAACGTAAGATATTGCCCATTACAAGCCAATGGATGTGAGCTATATATTTGCGTATAACCAGCATAAAGATCTACTTTCCTTAGGCCTAATATATTCGAACTTGGCTCATATCAGTTTGCAAGCAACGCTACGCTTTGCTCCCAGAAGCTGCACTCCATACAGGAGCTTCACCGTTGTCTTGGGTTTAGCGATACTATCTCGCTTATTACGTCAAATCTTTGTTTACCGATTAGTACTCTCGTTCAAAAAATGGATCGTGGATGAGGAGAACTCAGCGTTTCAGGACAGGGTCTAAACAGAGAAAAAGTTTTACTTAGTTAAATTATTAAAAAAAGAAAAACAGAACATTTGCTGGCGATTTGTTTTCTTAACTTAATTCTTGTATCCAATATTTTGTACAGGACAAAAATGTTTTTTTTCCAGCAAGAAAGGAACTGGCGCTTTTCGTGTCAGGTCGCAGCCATAGTAACTGCGATTTTTAATTCAGTCCTAGGAAATAGGTCGGGTGATTTATATAGTCTAATGAACAGGTTTAAAGACGTTAGGCAATAAGATCATCCTCAAAATTTCGCTATAAAGATATGGGCTTTCGGCGACACATGGCATAGAGAGCTGGGGCAAGCATCAAGGATGTTTGTACGTCCATACTGAGAGGGATTCGTTATCGAGTCGCAGTGGAGGTGGCACCGATCTCATAGCAACGCATGTCCATTTTAACATCGAAATTTAAGTATAGTACTTAGACGAAACAACAGTGAGTTAAATAAAATAATATAAAACATTCCATGCTTACTTATTAGCATTGGCCCCTAAGCTTATTTTACTAATAATAATAAAAAAAAACTATAATAATAATAATAATAATGCCATGTGACTCGCATTGATCCGCGTCGTATCGTACTTAGGTGAATTGTATACTATCGCAATAGTTTCCTTCGACAAAAAAGCGACGTTATATAAACCTCAAGGCTAAAAACTCGCAAGTATAGCAGTCAAAAACATATTGTTACTTTCACTTCAAATATAGCCCTCTTCGTCGAAGACCTCTTCAATTTCAGCTATCGTTATATATGCTATTCTAGCAATGGTACTAGTATTGAATTTAATTATTTTTATCGCCAAAAAGTTTTCTTTACTTCAAGCGTCCTTACATTGTCGTTGTTGATAGCTACTAAGGTACCTGTTCAAATGCCGCTAAAAGAATTCATTGATGAAATCATTTGTCGGCAGATTTCACATGGTGAAAAGGTGCGGCTCAGACGAGCCGATTCTGTATGCTCAGTCGGCGTTCAGAAGCTTACTGAGAGCTTAAGTTATTAAAATCATAGAAACAGCGAACAAAGTAAAATCTACTCAAACAAATCATCTACTTTAAAGTGACTAAATATTTAGATTTTTCTGCACCTGTCCCGTATTCACCGTTTGAAGCAAATGTTACCGTTGGGTCAAGGGAGGAACATGTGGCTGCGGTCGGAAACGTCTTGGCGTGATTTTTACTTTGGCCTATGGCATGGCTAAACCTGGCATTTGGACACCTGCTATACTTTTGGGGGTAATTACCATGCTCCCTTTAGAGGAGGCAGTATTTTTCTCGTTTTGACACAGATCCCAAGAAATAAAAAGCCTAAAATTTCGAACAAATAGTGCCCAAAACAACGTCACTTCCTTAATGCAATTGCGTTATTACGTCATTCGTATGTGTCGCAGTAATGAACGGCCAGATATGTAATCTACTAGTTAAAGAAGAGAAACTATATTTCATCTTTCCTGGCAGCTGAATTCACTAGTGTCTTTATATGAATAGTGGGACTAGGTACACTACGATTCATTAGACTATGCTATATAATCATCCTAAGCTAAGACAAAGCTGTCGTTGTATGACTCACGTTCGTAACGATCACGTTTTCGGTATTTTACATCTGGTACATAAGCCGTTAGACATTATTTCTGGTCCTTTTCAGCTCGTGTCTATCGAACACACCATGAATTAACTAGTCGTGTTCAGTGGGGCGTGGCACTTCGTTGTAGTATCGCAGACCATCATCGTACGCAGTATCGATAAGCTGAAGTCACTTGAAGAACTATTACTTGCAGAAATGGATTGAATGTTCTCCCGGATCAATAGCGCCGCGTTATACTAACCGACAACATAGCTGCAACAGCTGGAATCTGCTTGGCCTTCTTTCGCAGCCAGTGGTCCGTCTATAAAGTCCAGCATGGGTGAGCAGAGACAGGACGGATCTAACCAAGGACCCCGCACACCCTCCACCCGTAGCCACCTGCATGTAGCATAGAGTCGTAGACTAGTTCGACTTTTGTTGGACTGCCATTATACGAACAGGCAGGCAGGCAGTCAGTTTGTTTTCATATGTACACCACTGTAACAAGCTACATTGCTCTCGGGGTAACTTAACCAACACAAGCAATGACAGACGCCACTCCAAATATCCAACAAAAATTTGTCACCAATTACTGTTGTTGATCGTTTAGTTATCCAGTGGCTTTAACGTACCTAGACGTCAACGTACTCACCGATATCTACCCATAACTCGGTGGAGTGAAAACAGAGATGCATCTAGTACGAAGAAAATATACGTGTTTAGATATTTGAAGTTTTGACATTTGTGCATGAAGGTTATAAGTGGCGAAGAGTGACAGCTTACAGATGGAAGTGAAGGCTAGACATCGATAATTGAAGACATGAATATTCAAATGAAGATACATTTGAAGATAGTTAGTGACATGGGACTGGGTAAGGCTACCACAACTAAGACGTGATTGTAGCATATGCGTCTTCTTTTAGCGTCACGAGGCGTCCATTATATTTGATATCTGGCGGTGGCTTGGCGTATAGCAACAGGCTTTTCATAGCAAATTTATTGAAAATCATCTGCATGCGCAAATTGATACGCCGCACGTGCTTGGGCCGCGTCAAAGTAGATACCGCCAATCGCCCGTCATTATAGTTGATATGCGTTTTATAGCAGACGAAAATTGCCAACCATTTTATGAGCCTGTGCTCGTCCTACCATTGGTACACGATGGGCGCTTTCGTTGCTTCGGTACGGCCAGAGACTAACTTTGGTTCTATTCACAAAGTTAGGAAAAAATCGTCTGTCAAACACGTTTGTCAAAGACGTCTTATAAGACTTAAATGAGTCATCACGACAATTTACTCGTTTTCGAGAAAATATTAGTTGAAATCAATCGCCATCGTTGATCCATATAATCTTACCGATGCCACAGGCCCAGAGCTAGGACTACATGGGTTACTAGTGAAACAAGTTAGTCATTCAACGAATCTAGACGGTAAATACTTTCCGTCACTCGAAGAGCTGTGATTTTTGCTAGAGAAGACGCAATACGTCATCTTCATCTTCTATACAGTGTGGGACGTCGCGTATTGGCATCTTTACGAATTGCATCTAGTTCGAGAAGTAGGAGCAACCATAGCGCATTCAGACGTGTATAACCACTATGCTTATGTATATAACTATAGAAAACTCTGACCTATGACGGTGAAAATGTGAGACATATTTCCTAATGATGAGTTACGCCAATGAATTTTAATGATTTACAACTTGTTTCCATCTAAACGTTGTTAGTTATAATAGAACGAGTACGTAGCCAAGATGCCCTAATCTAACTTCTCACACAAGAGATTTATATTCCAAGACCACTTGTTTTTTTTCCATCGAATCAGTATTGACGGCATCGTGTGCCGTGGATGCTCTATCCAACCGTGACCTTTATAGTCCTTAGAGTAGGTATGTAGTAAGTCAATGTTAAAATGAATATAAAACGTTATCTTCTTTCAGTCCGTGTTTGAGAGATTAGGTTTTAGAAAAACGAAACCGTGATTGAAAACAAAAAGTTACTTATCTTGCTTTCGATCACTCGACACGAGTCAAAGAAGACGTGAAACGTCCAATATAACTTCATCTTATAACATATAGCCAATAAAAGAACTGCACTTAGTTTTTGGCAATTTTGAAGATTCTGAAGCTTTAATAGTACCAAAGTTTAAAACGAAACGTTTCCTCTTAGAGAAAAATGCAGCGACTCTAACTTTCCCAGTATCGTTAAGTTGTGAGCTCGTGTCGTACAGCTAGCGAATTAGATCAATGCAAACATTGCACATACCCTAATCGACCTGAAGAAACCACTCGTGACGCTTCGAGACCTGGGTGTCTTAATTTTTACTGTTTGATCGTATTGTCGAAAACTAGTGCTCGTAGATAGGGAACCCTTTCCGGTGTCAGCGAGCTATCTATCTATCTATCTATCTATCTATCTATCTATCTATCTAGGAAAAAGACAAATGTTATAGTACGCGTTGATGTTAAATATGAAAAATATGAATCAATGTATTTCTGCCACTCATGCAACAACTAAGCCCAAGACGTCAAAATTAAGCCATTTTTGATACGTCTACGATCAGCATTCGACACATATGGGTATTGGCTTCGCCTTTATAGATGCCAACCTCTTTTAGGCCGACTACAGATTCAGTCCTTAGGTGTCGTTTTTCTCTATCTGCATTGTCATAGATAATACAGGCCCATATATATATATATATATATATCGCCTATGCACGCATATAGAACGAACGAGTTCGTACTTTTTCAAATTAATCAAATTTAAATTCGCTGTAAAACAATGGTACATTGATATAACCGCGTCTCATATTAAAGAGTGCTCTAGCAATCGTTGTCACGACTGTCTGTGAACTATGCTGTTGTGTAGTATGAATAACGTTACATGGTTAATTTTTTTTTAAGGGCAAACTTGAAGGGCAAACGTGAAATACATTTTGATTGAATTTAATCTAAAGCATTTGTTCTTGGGCGCGAAGACCGAAAGGGATAATAGTAATGCTAGCCATGAATATAATATTTTATAGATTCTTTATAATGTAATCAGACGATTTACTACCATAAGCGCCTGACGACAGATGATTTGTCCTTTTTCATTAATGCCAAAAAGATAATTCCGCAAAAAATAATATGTGTAGTTGGAAATCATTACTATAACTTCATGTTAAGCGCCCCATGTGTCTTCATTCATCATTTTGTAACGGCAGTAACGACACACGTCCCACGGGTGTCCCATTTTTTCAAATTGCCAGTGTTGACGGTCAGTCCATCTATAGGACTCGTCCTTGAGCAGACAACGTATAACGAAAACGTGTGTATTTAGACATTCTCCACCCGGTGAACCTGGACAGTTAACCGAAATCAACAGTTTGGTCCGTGGTAAAGGCCGAAATTCTGGCGGTCTGCAAGTTTTCTACACTTGCATTGCGAGGCACGGGTATCGTTTATAATACTGTACTAATGAATAGCTGGACCTGAGCAGGCCATAGAATCGATCGTTCTAATTACACGCAATACATATTTTTGTGACTCCCCTATTCCGATAATAAAGAATAGACTTTTGTCATTCGACCGGACCTTGGTCATGAAAAAAAAACAAAACAATTTTCCGCCGTTAACGTTTACTTGTTGCACAATCGTACATAAAGCCCTCATGCGCTTGAACCTTAAACATATTCTCACGTCGAGGTTGTCATGGACCTTGATTTTTAATAGTTAATACCAGTAGTTGGTGAACTTCGTAGGTCACTCGCCTGATCACTGCTTGTTCCCTTGCTCATATGAAGTACATAAAGTTTTTTTTTTTTTTTTTTTTATGTAAAATGTGTTTACTAGGATAGTTATTATCACTCCGTCGGATACTTAAGACTCCCTTAAGTAGGACCTTCAATGTTTTGTTGTTATTGTACTAATTTTCACGGAAGTATATTATCTAATTTGTATATATTTCATTATATTTTGTAGTAAGTAAACTAAGACACTAGCACAACGTAGCAGAGTTGCTTTCATAGCGTTCGCAGTGTGCCTCGACCATTTTCATCCCAGAATATTAATTTTAGGCGTAGAAATATACTGTCCGTGCTAGCCTAGTGAATTTGCCTAGAGAACACGTTCAGGTCTGGGTTTGGACACACTCCGCTTCGTGTGTCCGTCTGATGGAATGTCTGACCGCGATCAGAGCCAAGAACATAAAGAACCGGATAGTTCCGATATTTTGGTAATTTTTTCATAGCAGGCAAAATGTTCCTCGTAGCAGTCACCTCAGTTTTGTTATTGGCATTTATAAAAAATTATCTGAGTAAATTAGTAAAATAATTCCCACCTCAACGATAGATACAGCGACCACCGGTCAAATCTGTACTATTTTTACCTCGAAATATATCGCGTTGTCTCTGGCCTATCGAAACGTTTGCCCGCCTCTGTTCTTTATCATCACCATCACTATTTTTATACGTAAAAATTACGCCTATAAGGTGTCGAGAAAGGGGCCTCCTGTAGTATCGGGACACATTCTTGCGTCGGATTTATTTTGGCTTAAGGTTTCTGCTTTAGCTTGCTTTTGGCCCCGGCGTATTAGCTTTCTTTATTATATATATTATTTCTTTATTATATTTCTTTATCTGTCTTTATTTCCGTGTCAATAAATGTGCCACTTTTAAAACATAACATCCAATTGGAGGACAGAGCAGTAGCGACCATTGACATGACTGATCCTGGCAAACTTTTAAGGGTTTAGGTCCGTTGGAAATCTAAACGCAATCGGAGTTAGAACGTTGCCAGAGAGGACGCCTAGGCAGGTTAAGCAAACAAACACGAGGGGCTCTGAGACAACGTTCGAAGGACAATTTGTCATACGGGTGCCAGCCGAATCTGAGCCAAATGAGCACCATACATTCATAGAAAATTTTCTTATGTTGAAAATTTCTAATTAGAAAAGCTGTCAGTTAATAAGAAAGATAGAGATAGATGCGCACCTCCTACGAAAGCAGTTGTACCGAGATTGATATATCAATAGAAAACAAACTATATTTCAATAACACTGAAGGTAAAAAGAACCCTGCTTAACTACCAATAAAAATTATGAAGTTCCACTTTAAATAAATAAACAATTAATATTGCAGTAAATTAATTCAGCCTTTGATCGTTGTAAGGTCAACATTGCCGTATTATAATATAGCTACGTATATTGTTTTTAAAGCTTGTTAGAAATCTGGATTAGATCAGATGTACCACGTAGGCAGGGCTGACTATTCGAGCAAGCCTCGCTGAATCTTCATTTATTTTACCTCAGTGCAAAACGACACGTCTCTTCCTAAAATTTCTACTACTGTGCCAATAAGGACACATCGTTTAGATATTTGCAGTGTTGTGCTAAAGAAAGCATAACGTGCTGTTCAATGACCAACTCTGTGGGCCAGTGTTTTTGCCCCCCTAAAGGAAATAATTATAAAGCCGACAGCTCGAGTTATCATGTGAGCTCGGTTATTATTATAGGGCAAACGGTTATTCGTATATATACGAAAAATCAACTCCTTATGGATTACTCGTTAATGTTGCACAAACAAGGCGTGTTTAGCTAGTCGTAGTTAAGCTATGATAGCAGGTCTCAGATATATTTCAAAATGTCCTTATCAGGCATATTTCAGGCAGTAATACATGCTGTTTCTGTGGTTGTTATTGTAAAAATTTATCATGTCAAAATTATCTGAGATGTATTATATAAACGTTTTAGTTATACGTAATCACTGGGTTTTGATATGATCCTATATATACAAATATATTTATAGAACAGAAATTATCAAGCATATTGTATGTGAACATTCATCTTCTATATATATATCTACGTAAATGCACTGATAAGGGAAGCTAAGAAAAAGTGGCATAACGCCATGAACGAACCATTCAAGGAAAGCCGCTATAACTAGCCATTGAGGCCCGACAAAATCAGGTGTCTATTCGGTCTTACCTGTCTTCAACCCAGTTTCACTTTTTTTGGTCTACACACGCTAATGATTTGCATATAATTAACTGAGTAGGTGGCACCAGCTACTAATGGATGGGTGTACCAACATTAACTAAGTCTTATCTCCAATCCTTACCAATATGCACTCATCTTAAGTGGTCTTTTCGTTTTTACCCCCTCCCGTCAGTAAGTATTTTTATTTTCTAATTGTGCAGCAACACTCTGGCAGCTATCTCAGCTCATAGCCGTTGTCGTCCGACAAACTACCCGACCGAGATCGGTTGACCTTCATCAGCATAAGCAGAAAACAAAATTTTTCGTCGTCGGAGAAAAAAGATTTCGTACGCACGAAAAAATATCACAATGTAATACAAGCTATGCGTGATTTCTGCAGTGGTATTAATTATCGGCTGAGTAGGCTAACAACAAAGTACTCAAAGAAGCTTGATTCCCGGCTATCGCAGTTTAGAAAAGACTATGACGACCTTGTGTCGTCATACAGGTGACCATCGTAATTCGTTAATTGCTAGAAGAGCTACCCATGAAGATACTGCTACAGCCGCTGCCGGACAGTACAAGATAGGAACTTGTAGGAGCTGCAAAAGAAAAATATGTAGAAGAGTTAGAATAGAATATTCTATTTGGTTTAGCGCGTTCAACTTTCCCTTTACTCTCCTCTATTTGCTTGTCAATAACTTACTTGTATGTATATGAAGATGTGTTTTTCGAGAGACGAAGATTTCAAGTACGAATTATGTCGACGTCTGGTTTTCGCTAATACAAACCCGGTCAAAACGTGGCAGTATTTATAATTTCGTAGCCATAGTGAATAATACAGTATCAACGCATTACAGGCAGGAGACATGTCTCGTTCACTCGTTATGCAGCAAACCCAAATCCACATACATTTATTTTCGTGTTTTATAGCATATAGATTGGCTCGTACGAATTTTTATAAGGTGAATGATAGCGCTGATTATTAGTATTTGGTACCCGAGGTGGCAGCAATACAGCGACGAGCAAGACACCCGGTGCTATAGTTGCATTTATAGGATGGTACTAGTTGCACAAGTTAACCGTTCAATTTTTATGCACCCAAGCTTGCTGTTTGTCTTTAAAGGACAAATGACCTTAGCGGGTCCTCACCCCACCATGATATTTTGTCAGGACTCAACCGGCCCCGTCCTCAATGGCCGTTCTTTTGCCCTTTCCCTTATGAACGGCCCTCTCCGAGTGGGCGGGTAGATGTGTTATTCTTGAAACGCCCCCAATAAGGTCCGTACAGTTTACCCTAAGTCTAAACGCGTTCTGGCTAGAGGTGATGCTTCTCGAAGGGGTGGTCGACAAAGTTCAGCAGACACGGTCATATCACATGTGTCCTTTGCCATTTCGTCGCCATCATCGCTGGATTTAGGTTTCATGTCTTGCCTTGACAATTCAAGTAGAATCAAATAGTGATTTGCTGTCCATGACAAATGTTTTTGATTGCGGCACTTACTAAATTGGAATTTTCAAACTGGGTTTCCTTCCTGATGTTATGAACTAGAAGAATAACCAGCTCCATTTTTGATTCGATGTTTTCGTGGTTTAACATCTTGACAATAGTAATGCCGTGTCAAGTGCTAGTGAGCACAGCAACTTGATGCAGCACTTTTGTTAAAAGGCCATACACCTTCTGTGCCTACGCGAACTGCACCAGCTCTACTCAAACTCTTCCCGGTACCCATGCTCCCATACATGCAATGAAATAAACGCTAAAGGACAAAACCTAGGACGGCCGATGCCAAAGAGATGGAACACCCAAGACAGAAGACGAGAGAGAGAAGCCGTCATTGATTAGTTTGTCCGATCAGTCACTAGCGGCCTACTATAATCAAGCAGTGCGCATTGCGCTTGATCTTCCGTAACGATTGCTGGAAACATATTTCCATTAAGTGTGCGTGCAGGTTAGTCTTGTAAGCAATCTCTAGGCATCGGGATGCTACACTGTGGAAACTTGAAGTAGAACTTTGTGCGAACACCTGAGAGTGCATTGAAGGTAACCCGCTTCCTTTGATGGTGAGTCAGTTATCTACGCATAAATGTGCACAACGTGACTAGGTACATGCCTACATGTGACTATCCATTTGGACAGAGTATTCCTTGTCCTGCGCGAACTTTATCAGTGTAACAGGCATTAACAACTAAATAAGAATAACCCATATAGGATAGTGTATTAATAATAATAGAAGTCTTTAAGCTATAGCTTTTTCACAGCCGACTTTCACTCTATGCCAGTAAGCACGTAAACAGCTTGATCAGTTCCCTGCTTAGGCTCTATATGGCCTTGCTATAAAGTTTTGTCTTTGCGACAAACTGAAACGACGATGTTAGATGAAGGGTACGAAATATTTTAGGATAGAGAACACTTAGATAGTTAAAATTTAGATTTTGTCAACTGGCCGAAAAGCTTTCATGACGAGCTGACATGTAGTTCGAAATAATTCGAAGCTATGCCTTCGTTGTAAATGACGTAGGAGTACAAATCAGCATCAGTCACTATTTTCAACGTTTAGCGAATGAACACTCTCATCGTACTTGTCAGCTGCTATCTAGGCATGCATCATGGTCCCGAATGTTATAAAGGCTAAATAGAGGCAAGCAAGGAGTATTCGCGCATATTTGACAGGCTCAAGGACGAAATGCATGATTTATCGATATGAAAAAGTTGTCCAAACGTGAAACGTCACAAAACCGCTGGCTCAGGATTAACATTTGCAGGACACATAGTCACGCATATCTTCAGAACAATGACTTAAACTATATAGTCAGCCAGATGATCGGATAAACGATGAGTCAAGAAAGCGTTGTGCTGTGCATCTCATTACTTAATGGAGCCTTTGCAATAACATTAAAAATGGTTTCGCATCTACATACCGTCAATACGTTTTGCAAGGCTGATCAGTGTGATTCTGAGATATCATTATGTGTAAATGAAAGATATGGAACACGTGACACGCATTCTGTCTGACCTCACTTAATCACTAAAATCATCATTTTTAGAATTATCTTACAAAGCACTTCTTTTATCGAACAATGTAGTCCTGTGGGCTGCATTATTCGATAAAAGTGGGCAGGAAATCATCAGTACCGTGTGTTTGACCTGTGGACTGCTCAAATTTTCGACGACACATGCTTATTGATCGTTTCGAAACGTCTTGGTGAACTTCCGTAACTTATCACAGCTTATATTCACGAATGAAATTACCCACGAAACATGCTTCGGATCCGTAAGCTACCTAAAACACAATATCTTTTTTTGATGGGGTTCACGATTAGCATACAGCGGATAAAACTCGTGGTTTTTCTTGACGTGGCTTCAGCTAAAACCCAGTTGACAGGTAATGTGGACTCGAGCCTCTTTGTATGAAACCGTTATCAAACGAAGGGACAAGCGAGTCTAGGTCATCCTGCCCCATGACAACGCCCCCGTCATGCACGGCGAACATCGTCAAAACTATTTCCCTGGACTTCCAAACCTGTTTTCACTCCCTCCGTCTACTGGCAAATAAAATTAGACACCCTACATTTGGCAATAGAAGATGTCTCAAAACTTGGTTGAGCCAGTTTGTTTACGCCGAATGTCGAAATCATGACAAAAGGGATTAAAAAAAACAGTTGACAAGTGGGAGAACGTCGCTAACAATGACGGAAAATACATTGCAACGTACTGTGACACAATGGAAAACCGTAATTTCCTGTAGAATAAGGAAGTAAACTTTATTATAATCTCATTATATATCGTTGTAAAGCATACGTGGCATAAAGTATATGGCAGGAACAAATTTATGATGTGTGGGACGCTGTTAGCGCTTACGATACAGTCTCCTTATTTGAAACGATATTATAAGGATAATGATGAAATTTTAACAGTGTAATATCTGGGCATCAATGATAATTCATCTTATTTTCCGGGTGTACCTATGCTATAGTAACAAATACGGTTTCCAAATGAAGATAACATAACAACGCAGTGAAAACTAGTCGCTCAGCCACGATTGAATCATAATGACTCTAAATAGGGTATGCAGTGTAATTAGTCAATACCGTTATTCAGTCATAGCCTAATTTATTTTAAGCTACCTCAGACAAGAAAGCACTGACAGGATAAATTTACTTAATGGCTCAAATAATTATTGAAATTTGTCAATATAATAATTTTCAACGCGACTAACACAAATGTACAGATGTAGGGCGCCTGCATCAAGCGTAAAGGTGAACTTATATTTTAGGGCGAAAATCCCTTTGTTCTTCTTACTACTGAGAGCAACCAATCCCCTCTAGAACTAAACGCCGAGTTAAAAGAGGAAACTTCGGATTGGCAGCAAGGACTAGTGATCGTCTAATACTTGTTCGTCCGCATCGATATAACGTCAGTTTTGCTTGTCGTTCTGACGCCGTTCTTTGGTGTCGCCGATCTTTCTACGACGTCTGAAGAACTTGAAAAGAAATTCACAATAAGAATTGAGTTTAAATGGTGGAATAGCTATGGAAGAAAGCGCGAAAAGCCTATGAGACTATCTATCGACTTTCGGAGTGACGGCGCGGCCTATAGCGTCTAGCTATTGCTAGACTTTTTGGGCTTTTTACAGTTTCTATCGATTTGCGCCTTTAAATTTTGGAACTTTGGACCCACTGGCAACCCAAAATTAAGGTCTACCGGATTCTTCTCTGTGTAGCGTGTTTCTGCAAGATCGTCGCGAGTCCACAAGGGAAAACCGTTGCCCGTTCACAAAACTGATCGTAAGTTTGTACGGACTGCTTTACAGGTCTGCTCCTCGATGAAAATGACAATTTCAGAAAATTATAACGTTCAGTAAAGTTAACAGGACAAGCGTTGTACGTAATGTCCAGATTTGTATAACTGTGTATATTCATCATTCGTTTTCAATATGTAAATATAGTAGTTGAACGAGTCGCTGACCTTTCTAATCAGTTCGAGAGTGAACGGCCGGGCAGATCGTACGCTTTTAAACCATATATTACCATACAACCATACGTTTTTGAAATACTCAACTGTTTGTTACTGCGTAACTATGAAAAATAATAGCTCGGACGGCTAGAACCATTGCAAGCTGTTGCAACGTGCGATGCGCGTGCAATGAAAGTGCGTCCCGCGTTGAAGAAGCTAATCTGATCATTTCAGAGCTTCCAGCCATCATGGCTTCAATTGATTTCTGCTTGTTACGGATTTCTTGTAGCTTTTGTCGATCATTTCCCTGTCTTCCATCCGTTGAAGCAGCATCAATCAATGGCGGTTATTGAAATGTTCTGCGTATTTTTCCTTTCTGGTGGGAAGTACATTTTTAGGCTTTTACCACATCCGCCTGTTATCTGCCGCTGTAACCGAAGAAAACAAATCAGTCGTCCTCTTCTAGAGCCATGATTACACCTCACCCTTCACTACCGATGCAGAAGTCCTTTAAACCGATCAAGGATGCCAGCTGACTTTGCGACTGTCTCTAGCGTACCTAGTTTATCGCGCATATGGAATATCATCAACTTCGAAGACTTCTTTTTGTCGGTACCTGTCGAAAATCCCGTTCAGACCAAACGTCTTACCACTAACTAATGAATCTGTAAAGTATTCATCATTATACTAGGTTACTGCTCCCTAGCCACAAGCGAAAAAAAAAACGTTCAACCCTTTTGATCGTCATTTAGATTATTAGTAGTTAACCGATCTCGTTCATGGCCTAACTCGCAGTACCCTTTGCGCATATTGTTTTATCGATTCTCTTCTATATGGCAAGGCGTACGAGCACGCATTCTGTGCTACAAAAGGCAATCTTCTAGAAGCTTCTATTTGGAATATGGCTGGCTGACACGTGAACGCGGTGCTGGATTCACAGTACTCGGTGCACGCATTGGGAGGGAATCGAAAGATGACTTCCAGCGTTAACGAGGATCTGTTCGTATCAATGCTATAAGTCCGTGACAGCAGAATTCACATATGTTTTCAACAACACTGCGGGCCGATTTCCCTAACAATACGCTTATAGTATGTGCGTCTTACTTGACACGATGGAAACTACTTGTCAAATAGCTTTACTAACGCATTTACTCTACATAACTACTCGTAGCTATCACTCGAACAACGTATATTTGGGCACCGCTGGACATAGCTAAACCCAGTAGCAGCGTTCTGAAAACCAGCTACGTATTTGCAGCAAAATCATAGCTACACTTAGACGTCATTAGCTAGAGCCTACGACTGTTCACCATACGGCCTGTGTGTGACACATTCTATAGAGGTGATTTACTCTTTGCTAGCAGTTGGTACAGCACTCGGTAAAAAAAAACATTTATGAATAGCACAAGCCGCGACAGCACTGCCAAGGTTCGCATTAAAGATGGCGCCACAGTTAACAGGTTCGTACTTCCGTGGCTCTATAAACAATATAAGCTATTGGGGGGTATTCGTCGCGTTCTGTTACGCCCGGAAGAACTGCACCCCGATGAGAATATTTTTTTCAACACTGATGTGAAGTGGCTTGCTGGACAAAGGCAGCAATTTGTGGAGTTGCAGTATACGCGTTACGAATCGAAGGTTTCATTTCGCTCATGTATAATACTTTAAAATGGTAATGAAAGCACAACTCTCACAATTTTGTTAGACAACAGGAGCGTATTCGTTTACATAGAGCACGGAGAAGTTTCAAAGCGTTTGCTAGTTATATCCATTGTGTAGAGTTAGAACTTCATTATTATCTATGTCAATATTCTTGCCTGTCCCGACCCTCTACGACGTAAGGCGCAGTCCGGTATTTTGTCTATACGTGGTAGCGGGAAAAAGTAGTCTATGTCCCTAGTCGCGCAATTTGTTTTTCAGGCAAAAACATCCCAATTGAATATGAGTGAAGCTTCACATTGCCGACTGTGTGAGGTTCAGTCACTTTGGACGTAATGACAAAGTTAGTCGTACGGACGGAATGGTTTCCTAACGCTAGTTTGAGGACGCTCTGTGCAGATTATAGAACAGGCTATTGCAACTGATTTATTCAGTCAAAACCCGAAGC